TTTCATGTAAAATAAAGTCAAACGAACACTAAACTTTGATCAAAAAATGATTTTTTAGGAAACAATTTTTTTTTTTTTTTTTTACTTTTTGGCAATGGAAACAAATTTTATAACAAATTGTGAAAAAAATTATCACTTTAACAGACAATTTCCATGTAAAATAAAGCCAAACGAACACAAAAATATCCAAAAATTTTAAAAAAATTCATAGTGAAAAATTATATCAATCAAACACACTTCATTAACAATTTCCTAAAAAATAAGATCTAGGCAATTATTTTCTCTAGAATTCATTTTCTTTCCACCCATTTTCCACCATTATAATCAAACGAACCCTAAGTGCTAACAACATAAAAAAAAAGTCGTACAGAGAATTTTTTGCAGAAATCTTATCATTGTTGATGTGATCGCAGATGATTGGACTATTTTTTTTCTCTCCATTTTTCAATCAATTTTCATCATGTGTTGTCTGTCAAAGTTTTTGTCAAAATTTTCTGTGCTTGTAACATGATTGAATAGCATTATAGCTTGGCTTGCACGCTTCAAGTCAAGCCAGCCAAGCCAAGTGGGTAAGGGCCAAATCATCCTTAATCAGCAGTAAAAAACTGCAGAAGCCGCCATATAAACTGATGAGGAGCGCCAAGCTCCTAACTAAGCTTACGTTGTAACGAAGCAGTGTATTTAGTAAGCAGCATCATTGAGATTCTGCAAGCGCAATCTCCGCCGTCCATGTGTGTATGAGCTTACGACAACCGTCAACTTGTCTATTACCGACGAGGGTGTCGTAAGATAGGGTTGATTTTAAAGGCCGTCACAACACATGTCACCACCCCCGCCGTCCCCCCAAATCCCAAATTGCTTGAGTTTTAACCGGCTACTATTATCAACCAAGACGGCCCTAACCAAACTAGCTACTCAATTTTTGTAGCACATGAGATGTTGCTTAAAAAAAGAAAAATATCGTGCTTGATAATGAACGAACAGAAGAAAAGCTCGTTTAATAAGACTTCTGTTTTTTGAACGAGTTTTCAAGAAAGTTGCTTTAGTCTAACTTTCTTTAAACGTTCTTCTTATCTGACGAA